GATTTATTTATTTATTTGAAAGGCAGAGGTACAGAGAAGCAGAGGAAGGGAGAGAGAGAGAGATGTCTTCCATCCATTGGTTCACTCTCCAGATGGCCACAATGGCTGGAGCTACGCGGATCAGAAGCCAGGGACCAGGAGCTTTTTACAAGTCTCCTACACGGGGGCAGGGGCCCAAGGACTTGGACCATCTTCCACCACTTTCCCAGGCCATAGCAGAGAGCTGGATTGGAAGCAGAGCAGCCAGGACTTGAACCAGCGCCCATATGGGATGCCGGAACTCCAGGTGATGGCTTTACCTGCTATGCTGCAGCACCGGCCCCACTTTAAAATTTTTAATTGATACTCTTTCTTTCTTACAGTAGGTATTTTATAATTTTTGTACTGTGAATTTACATATATAAACTAGTCATAAGGACCTTTAATGTCTTAAAAAAGTCACATGTGTTTACCTTCTTCATCAAGGCTACTAAAACTCTGTCCTTCGGTCAGCAGATCTCGCTTCTCATCCTTCCATTCCTGGCTAATGGAGGACACGATCTCCTGAGAGGTCGCCTTTAAGGCGGCGATGGAATTGCACCGCTTCTTAGAAGGTGAGGCCTTCAAAACTAGAGAGGACGAGGGAGACACAAATCAAAGCACTTACTGTAAAGCCGTGTTAGAACTTTATCAATGAAATTAATATTTTACTTGTTATTTATGGATATGTCATTATCTAAGTAGATGGCAAAAATCTTATGTGATAGGGAGATGAAACTGTTTTGGCCATATTATTTGTCCAAAATGACTTGACCTAAGTCAGAATATTCTAGAATGAATTACAGTTGAAATTTCTCTCCAGTTTCCAAAATCAGGTCTCATTTAAGGTGAAATTTAAATGTTTTCTTGCCAAAGAATTATTTTCCTTCCTCCACACCGTGTTTTCCTAGTGCTGGGAGGAGACCGGGTAGATGGGTGAACGCAGATGGTGAAGTACGAAGAATTCTCACGACCTCACTTTTATTAACTTGGGACTGGGAATTTCTAAAGAGGCCCATGTTTAATCTTAGACACACAGTGCCCGATTTAGCCAAGTTACTTCAGGCTGCTTTTTTCTTTCTGTGACTTTCCACTGAAATGTTCTACTCTACGGGTCTTGTGTAGCATCAGACGCCTAATTCACTCTTGATCTTTGTCCAGAAAGACCTCTGCAATCTGAGCAGTGTGTTGGGAACTGGACCCACACCAAAGTCCTTCACCATCCATCCATCACGCTTGCTGAGGGCTGTGACTTTGCACAGGACACGTTGCTGGGGGCGGCTTAGACTGCGGGCAGACCAGCCCTACCTATATTCATTCTTTGCTGCAATAATTCTTCTTGGCTTAATATTGTCAGAGAATTTCCGTGGAGGGTAGGAAGGAAGATGAGGCTTATCTATTATGCTTTTGTAGGGATTTACTTTTTTGGTAGTACCTCTCTCCTTTGGAGCTTGCACAAAGGGGTAACCTGTCGGCAAATGTACTGGGCTTACTGTGCTAGCCTTGGGAATCTCAGAGCTTGGATGACACTGCTCATCTGTGACCTTCCTCCAGGCAGCCTGTGAGCACTTAACTGGAGAAGGACTATGGGACACACAAATGAAAGCTGGAGAGAGGGCAACGTCTCTACTTTGAAGTAGGGAAGGTTTGTCTGTCCCTTGAGCAGTCTTAGCACGACCGCATCAATAACTTCATCCTCTTTATCAGTAAGGTCTGTGGAAGAAAGCTTTGGAGTCTGGAAGCCAATATTCACAGAGCAGACCTCAAATTCTCCACCCCTGACCCGGCCCTTTTACAGGTACAGAAACTGAGTTCCTAGAGCTAGCAAGCCCATACTGCACGTGTTCTTTTCTCTTGGTGGCTCACTTTCTACCTCTTCAGCATTCCATTTTCTGGTGAAAATGAGGGGGGAAAAGACAAAGCTAAAATTTGCCTTAGTGAGAAAGAGAAAGAGTGAGGTTTAAAAACTCATCAAAATGGATTTTAATAATAACAAAGTTGGCCAAATAAGTGTGTTTTCCTTAACTCCCCTTTCTATCAAACAGTGGTTTCCCATTTTTTACAGGTCTCTAGGAATAAGCCACACTCCGGCTTCTGCCTGAACACTCTGTTGACTTTCATGAATATTTTATAAATTTTTATAAACTCCTATCTTTCAATATAATAATGTACATCTAAGTCAGAGGATATCAGGTGTTATTTGGGGACCACTCAGGGTCCCTGAGGGTTCTCTCAGAACATCTGCAAGGTTAGAACTACTTTCACGGTAATGTCATGCTGCCATCACCTTTTTTAGTCCATTCTTGCACACAGGCGGACTTTTCAAGAGGCCACATGACCTGTCCTATCAGAACTGAACTCAGAAGCAGAAGTAAGGCCCCACTACCCAGCCAGCCTTCAGAGATTCAAAAAAAAAAAAAAAAAAACAAAAAACAAAAAACAAAAAACACAAACAAATGCAAAATAGCATCATTCTTTATGCTCAACTCCTTGTTCTGAAAATGTATTTTTCATAAATATTTTTGTGAAATAAAAAAAATTTGTTAACATTGAGTTCCATTAACATGCATTGTTTTTTGTTAACAGTTTTTAATTTCTACTATGAGAAACACAGTATAGCTCACTATAACCCAAATAATCAAAAGCTCTTTTTAAGACACAATAAAGTAGTACCTTTGATATACATGAAGTCAGTAACAGAAATAAAAAAAAAGATAATAAAGTAGCCCTGAGCCCAGAAGTTGTGAGAACAGCTTTTCTCCACCATAGCTCTGGACTGAAGCTAATTCCCTAAACAGAGGGTCAGGGGGTCAGGAGAGAGTGAGCAGCAGCAAGGGACAGTGAGTGAGGGGAGAGCAGTGTGAACAGGCAGACACTCAGGTGAGCTGCACCTGTGTGTGGGGGGAGACATAACCCTTTGCTCACTGTCAGTGTCACATATGCTGAGGAACAGAGAGGATGTGAGGACAAACCTCTGCCAAGGCCACACAGCACCCCAACAAAGAACTGACTTTTGTCTTAAGTGGTCAATTTCTTCCTTAAGGCATGATGCGAGCCACACTCAGCAGATAGGGCTTTGAATTTTGCAGAAACTAAATGTTACAGGGATTTGCTTTGATTGGGAACCTTCAAAGCTGGCTGGGTTGCTAGTTACTTTCTTTTGTGCGACAGAAACTCCTGGATTTGTCTTTGGCCAGACCATTGCCAGCCACAGGTATCCTGCGCTCTGCTCCCTTCCAGCATCAGGTTCTGCCACTCAATTGCTCTACACATCACTGCTTTTCAGCTCACCTATCTGCCACTCCAGATTCTCCGATTCATTCCACCCCAGCACATGCTGTTCCTTCTCCCTGAGTCACCCTTCCTGCCTCTCTTCTTAATGAACTATGGCTTATATTTTCAGGGCTGAGTGTAAACATTCACTGATGGGTTATTTAATTGATTGTAATTGAAAGAGTGAGAGTGAGAGATCTGTTCCATCCACTGGTTCACTCTTCAAATGCCTGCAACAGCTGGGGCTGCATAAGGCTGAAACCAAGAGCCTGGAACTACATCCAGGTCCCTCACATGGGTGGCAGGGACCCAGACACCTGAGCCATCGCCTGCTGCCTCACAAGGTGCACCACGGCAGGAGGTGGATTGGAAGCAGAACTGCAGGATGCATCCTTGCTCTCTGATGGTGGTTCAGCTGTCCCAAGTGGAAGCTTATCCCACAACTCCCTACGCTCAGGGATTAGTTTTAATATATTCTTTCTTGGGGCCAGCGCTGTGGCGCAGTGGGTTAACGCCCTGGCCTGCAATGCCGGCATCCCATATGGGCACCAGTTTGAGTCCTGGCTGCTCCACTTCTGTTCCAGCTCTCTGCTATGGCCTGGGAAAGCAGTGGAAGATGGCCTGAGTCCTTGGCCCCTGCACCCACGTGGGAGACCCAGAAGAAGCTCCTGCCTCCTGGCTTTGGATCAGCGTAGCTCTGGCCATTGCGGCCAATTGGGTAGTGAACCAGCAGATGGAAGACCTCTCTCTCTCTCTCTCTCTCTCTCTCTCTCTGCCTCTCCTCTCTCTGTGAAACTCTGACTTTCAAATAAATAAATAAATAAATCTTTTAAAAAAATAATTTCCAATACAATCCCATCAAGGTTGCATGTACTAATGCCATCTCACTAGTCCAAGGTGTTTAAATTTAACTGAAAAGTGATCCCTGTTAAATATAAGGGTGGGAATAAGAGAGGGAGGAGATGTATAGTTTGGGACATGCTCAAGCTGACTTGCCCCAAACGGTAGAGTTAGAAATGTGCCAGGGGATTCCAGTTCAATCCCATCAGGGTGGCATGTACCAATGCCATCTCACTAGTTCAAGTGATCAGTTTCAGTTCACAGTTGATCATAATGAAAGGGTTAAGAGTCAAAAGGATCACATAAACAAGACTAGTGTCTGCTAATACTAACTGAAAGACTTAAAAAGGAGAGAACGATCCAACCTGGGAAGTGGGATGCACAGCAGACTCACAGAATGGCACATGTCCTAAACAGCACTCTGGCCTCAGAATCAGCCCTTAAAGCATTTGGATCTGGCTGAAGAGCCCATGAGAGTATTTTAGGCATGGAAAGCCAAGACACTCGGGCCAAAAAAAAAAAAAAAAAAAAGGCCCTAAATGAAAGAACTCTGCGAGATCCCAGTAGCAAGAACGGGCCATCAAAGGAGGTACCTTTCTCTGAAGGGAGGAGAGAACTTCCATTTTGACTATGGCCTTGTCTAAATAAGATCGAAGCTGGCGAACTCAAAAGACTTCCATAGCTTTGGCAACTCATGACAAAAGCCTAGGGAGATTACTGATGCCATAAACAAGAGTGTCAATTTGTTAAGTCAACAACAGGAGTCACTATGCACTTACTCCTCATGTAGGATCTCTGTCCTTAATGTGTTGTTCAATGTGAATTAATGCTATAGCTAGTACTGAAACAGTATTTTACACTTTATGTTCTGTGTGGGTGCAAACTGATGAAATCTTTACTTAATATATACTAAGTTGATCTTCTGTATATAAAGATAATTGAAAATGAATCTTGATGTGAATGGAAGGGGAGAGGGAGCGGGAGATGGGAGGGGTGCAGGTGGGAGGGAAGTTATGGCGGGGGGAAAGCCATTGTAATCCATAAATTGTACTTTTGAAATTTATATTTGTTAAATAAATATGGTCTTACTCTGAGAAAAAAAAATAATTTCCTCTTTAAAGCTCTCACTTGGGAAGATCTGATCTGAGTTCTCTTGGACTACCCACAGCACTGTTTGTAAAAACTCTGTAAGCGGGGCCCACATTGTAGTACAGTGCTTAAGGCCATTGCCTGTAATGCCAGAATCCCCTTGGGTGCCAATTCATATCCTGACTGATGCACTTGTGGTCCAGTTCCCTGCTGATGGCCTGGAAAAAGCAGCAGAGGATGGCGCAGGTGCTTGGGCTCCTGCTGCCACGTACGAGACCCGGAAGACGCTCCTGGCTCCTGCCTGGCTCAGCCCTGGCTATTGCAGCCATCTGGGGAGTGAACCAGCAGATGAAAGATCTCTCTCCCTGTATCTCTCCCTTTCTCTCTG